TGTCCCCAGCGTCTTGCCCCATGTGAGGTGCCTTCCCTCTCTCTCTTGGGTGACTGAGCCCCGCTCCAATGCTCCTGTCCCACTGAAGTGGCCACATGCCTGTGATGGGGTGAGGGACCACCTGAGGGGCTGGAGATTCCACCTAGCAGCTACCTGGGGGAGCAATGGGCTCTACAGACCTGAAGAGGGGCAAAGCTGGGAAAGGGCCCTTGCTCCCATGGGCAGATGGCATCTGGGCTGTTGGCTGGGATGGGAGGTCAGTGAGCACGCATCTTAGAGCCCTATGCTTTTGAGGCTGAATACACCTTTACTGCCCCAAGTCACGCCCCCTTCTTTGTTTTTTCCAGTGTGGCAATGTTGAAGCTGTGGTGCTCGGTGTGCTTTCACTGGTAGTGGAAATCAAGGCGGGGACTAGGTGTTAGTAGCAAATTGTCTCCACACTTAGCAGCAATTAAAAAACAATATCCAGGTGTTATTTCACACAGTTTCCGAGTATCAGGAACCCAGAAAGGGCTGAAAGTGTGGTCTTGGCTTACGACTCTCTTGCGGCTTCAGTGGAGGTGTGGCCAGGGGTGTTGTCCCCCCTCAGATGGCGCAACCCCATGGGGGTGGGAAGAGCCACGTGGCCCTCTTTATAGGACACTTGCACGTCCCAATTTAGAATGCAAGGCAGGGCCTGGGGTGGAATTCCAGAAAGCGGGGAGCCTTGGAGCATCTTGGAGAATGGCTGTCACGGAAGCAGATATATTATTTTAGTATAATAAATGCAGATTAGTTAGCAGGATATTATTTTGGCTGGGCTTCGTTGTCTTTCCAGTGCATTAAGTTGAATTCAAAATATCTCTGGGAGGGGCTGGGAATGTAGCTCAGTGGTGCCATGCCTGCCTGGGAAGTGCAAGGTCCCAAGGTCGATTCCTGGTACCGGGGAGGGGAACAACAAACAAAGTAGCCTTGGGAGCTCTGACCTTGTCCTTCTCCACTCTAAGATATGAAGGTCATCTCCATCCATCCCCATCTGGTAGCATAAATCAAAGTATGACCTATAGGAAGCCAAACACAAGAGGAGACAAGTTTTGGATGATAGCAAAGGATTAAAGAGACCTAAGAAACTGGAAAAGAAGAGACAAAGCTGTGCATGATGGCACATGCCTGCAATCCCAGCACTTTGGGAGGCCACGGTGGGAGGACTCCAAGTTGGAGCTCATCCTGGGCAACTTATCGATTTAGTGAGACCTTGTCTTAAAATAAAAATAAAAAGGGATCTGGAATGTAGCTCAGGGTGAAGGTCCTGCATTTAATTCCCAGTACGGGGGAGGTGGTGGGAGTCATGACTTATATATAGATGCTTATCCAAGCCTCACGTGGCTTTTGGGAGGTGGTGTGAATATAGATTAAGGGTGTGTGATAACTGGATTAGTAGTCCAGTGATTGGTTTAGCATAGTTCTGGGTGTGGATGATGGGAAGGCGGCACCAACCAATAGGTTTTTAGCCTGGATGGAATAAAAAGGGGAAGGAAGGCTTGGTGCTTGCTGCCTCCTGCCTACCCTGCCATGGACTGTTTCTTCTCTGTGATGTCCCTCTATTATGCCGCTCTGGCCAGCCAACTATGGACTGAAACTCTATATATTGTCTTTCTTCCATTAACTTACTAATGTTGGGTATTTTGTCCCCAAAATGAGGAAGTAACTAAGACAATGGATAAGAAAAAAATCCCAGGCAGAATGCCCTTTGCATCTCAGGACAGCTGAGCCACAGGTGCATCTTGAGGATTGCACAAGGTCCCATATGAGTAGATTGTCACAGTAGGAAGTTTCGAGGTTGGAGAGTTGTGCTCTAGAGCTCCCATACTCCGAGGGCTTTGTGTGGAGTTCCAACCTGTAGCAAAGTCCTTTAGCAAGGACTTTAAGCAGGCTGTGCATGTGCTTGGCTTGCTCACAGGGAGTTTTGCTCTGTCATGCACTATGTCTTCTTATAAGTTCACAGAGGAGGTTGTGCTTGAAATAATCAAGTTTATTTCTTTCTGTTCTATTTCCCTTTTGTTTTCTCCAAGACTAATAAACCCTTGTTCAAATGGTCTACTTTGTTTCATCTGTGCTACTCAGAAAGAAAGGGGTGGGGTTGGGGAGAATGAGTGGGAATAGGGATTGGGGGACAACCTTAGGGGCAGGAGCCTTTGCTGTCTTGCTGTCTCTTCTCTTGTGGGTTCTGTCTCCACGGGGGTGGGGGAAGGACGAGCCTCACTTAAGGATGACAATGGTTTCCTTGCAGCTGGGTCAAGGATATGGAATGAGCAGGCCTCTTCTGAGACTCCCATGAAGAGAGGGAGGAAGCCAAGGGAGGGAGCAGTGTAGAAGGCAAGAGAGTAAATCAGTCCCAGAGGATCAGACTAGGATCAGTCCAGTGAGAAAGCAAAGGCACACAGTGGTACAGAGTGATGGTGACTCCTCATCTAGTCCTTTTAGCTCTGCATTGTGTCACCCTCCTGGCTCAGTGAAGCCACAGCTGTCACTTTGTGTACAGAAGAAGGAAAAAGAAGATGCTGGATCCCAGATCCACTTCTCGCTCTTGGTCACTTACACTTTGGTACGAATATGTCACTGTGTGACCTCAGGGGCACTGGCTCTTGGGGCCTTGTCCGAAACTGTAGAATATAAGGGGTTGCTTCTGGTTGGGAGAATTCCAGGGATTAGGTTCTAAGGAAGGGAATAATATAAGCAGGAGTAGCCAACAGTTGTTGGTGCCTACTCCGTCCCCAGTACTCTGCTGAGGGATGGGCATGGAATCTTCACAAAGTCCCCAGGAGGAAGGAGGTGCTCTCAGTGTCGCCTTGGGTCCCTGGCATGTGTGGCTTGTTTGCTGGAAGGTGGTAGCCTGCATATGCTCATGCGGCTAATAAGAGGTGGCAGTTTGACACCAAGCCTGGGCACTGACCCATGCTGGTGTCATTTTAGGTTCATGTAGAACCTCTGGGAAGCAATGCCCCTGTGCACCCGATGGCCTGGCTACACTGGTGACCCTCTGGCACTGTACCCTGGGTACAGAACAGAGGCTCCCAGGGCTGTCCCTTCCCCTAGGCACCAGAGTAGAGAAAGGGGATAAGTAGGGTAGTGGGAGGCGGAGCCCTGCCTCCAGCTGGATGGTGGGCCTGGAGGTCCTGCAGAAGGACAGGGCCCCCCTTGGCCTTGCTAGCATGGTATGCGTGGAGGGCCAGCTTCCTCTCCTTCCCCTGGGACTTCTGTGGCCTCTGGTGGGGGCGGAGCATGGAGCAGCACTGTCCACAGAGCTGGGCTGCCCTGGTGGCTGCCTCTCTGTCCTGTCAGGCTGGCCCTCTCGCACTCCGGGCATTCTGGTCTCTGGCATAGGAGTTGGAGCAGGGCCTGGTTTAGCAGAAAGCTCTTCTATCTCACATGGAAGTAAGCACTTTGGATTCCTAATCAGATCCCTGGGGTCTAAGACTCTGGCCAGCTGAGTCATCTCCACACCCCTGTGAGCCCCAGGCAAGGCTGGCAGGGGGACCACTCGCTCCACAACTACCTCATCTTTGAGAATGAAAGAGTTTAATCTGAAGAGGGGGTGAGGGTCTTGTGTAGGTTGGGAATTGGGGTGTGTGTGTGTGTGTTTGTGGTGAGGAACAGAACACCCAAGAAGGTGGTAGAGAGGATTGAACTTGGAAGATCTCTGGCTTGCGCTGATGCATGCAGCGCCCCCTGTTGCACACAGGGGAGACAGCAGCTCCAGCTGCATCTGTGGGCTGGGCCTCCAGAACCTTTCAGTGCTCCCCTGGACTCTTGCATGCCCTGGGGTCTCTGGGCCTCTTGCTGGAGTCTCTCAGTGTCCCTGCTCCTGCAGGGATGCAGTCAGTGAAGGGCGGGGATGTACACTACAGGTGGTCTGGACCTTGGGTCACAGGGAGTTCTGAAGGTCTGAGCCTGCTGTGACGCAGGTCTGGCAGCCGCCCTGGGGACTCACAGGCTCCTGAGTCAGGGCTTGGGTGAATCTGCAGCAGGGTCCCAGACCCCCAGGAGGACAGCAGTGGGAAGAGGCTTGGACTGTGTACTCCGGGGGCCTGGACACCACGGCAACCTGGTGGCTTGGATAATGGGGCAAGAGTACTGGAGCGTCCCCTGTGCCTTGGGAGGGGACACGGCAGGGTCTTGCAACCCTGCAGCTTCTGTTGGGTGGCTTTGCCAAGAAGAGGAGTCCCTACACCCATGCTGCTGGGGACATCTTTGGAGAGGCCGGGCAGTGAATGAGTAGCTGTCAGCTCTGAGTCCTTTTCCAAATTCATCACAGGTATGGTGGGGTCAGTGGCACACTAGCTCTTCTTGGCCAGAGCCCTGGTGACTGTCTGGTATGTGTGTGGGGCTTCGCCACTGCAGGAAGAGGGGGCAAGTGTGTTCATCTGTGAAGGCCAGGGACTCTCCAAATCTGTGCCCTGGCCTTTCCACCGGGCTCTGTCTGTCCTTACCCTGAGTGCTCCTCTCTGTGCCACTGTCCCACCGGACTTTTATTCTGAATGGACCAAGGCCCTGGCAGGAGGGAGGAGGCTGTGGCTGGAGCTGGACCTGACCCCAGACAGCTCCACCCTCTGGGCTGTTTTCCTAGGCAGTGACTGTGGGACTCCAGGGTAGTGGTTTCACTCTCCCGTGCTCTCCCCCGACCCTCTTCAGAGGTCTGTATGGCCACACCAGCCCAGCTTTGCCTGCCGGGCCCCACACATCCCGCATCTCTTCATCCTTGGCCTTGCATTCTCCATCTGCTTCCCTTTGTAATTTCTGCAGGCCTTCTTGCTGCTGCTCTTTCCCAAAGCAGCCACGGAGGCCAGGACACTATTTGGAAGCTCTGGGGACAAAGGTCTTGACTAGCTCTGTCCCTCTGCCCTGCCTGTGGGAGGGAGGGATCAAATGGCCAGGACACCTTCTGATACTGGTGAGGCGGGGCCTCAGCCAGGCTCTGTCAAGTACAGCAGACGGATGTTCTCTCAAAAAAGGCAAGGAAATAAGGAGACTCTTCCAAGTGGCTTCCATTTAAATCTTGAACCCAGTCACAGTTTCCCCAAAGACCCACCAGGATAGATCTCACTAACTGTCAAGTGTCCAGAGCTTAGGAAAGTAAGAAGCCAAGGGAAGAAGAGGGGAGGTGGTTCCAACTCTCTCAGCACCCAGGAGGCCAGACCTTGATCTGAGACTGGACTGCTGTTGGCCGCACAGTGAGAGCGGAGGGACCGTGACTTGGGGCACAGGTTACTGGTTAAGAAGTGGGGGCCGAGGAGGGGCCAGAGTGGCTTAGGACGCTGACCTGGCACAGTCTGGGCTGGAAGGGGGCGCACGAAGGAGGGCCTGGGGGGTCTGCTTCTCCGGGCTATCTGATCTTCTTGAAGACCTGCTTGCACAGGGCATCCTTCGCAGTCAACTCCTGGGGATGGAGGAGGAGAGGGAGGAAGGGGGGCCTCCACAGCTGGAGTCCCTTTCTCTAGGCCTTTGACCTCTGTTTACTTCCTCAGGAAGCAGCAGCTAGAGCATTTGATGTATAGGGAACTGTTCCTAAACTCTTCACCCCGAGGAAGGAAGGGCGCCGGGCCAGGAGACACGAAGCGGCTGGCTCTGTCTGCCCATTTTGATTTATAGGTGTCATCCAACTTGCAGCCAGGGCCCACTCCAGCCACTTTTCCTCCGCTCCCAGCTCTTCCGAGTGCTGGGTGGTGAGGGCAGGGCTGGGTAGTAAGGGGACTCACGAGGGGACTGCTCGGGACACCCTGCTCGACCCTGCGACCCTGCTCGTGTCTCCCCTCCACTTACCAGGTGCAACTCGTCCCCCTCCATCCAGTGTCTCCAGCCTCTGTTGGGGACCTCGCCTCTCTGCACACACACCAGCTGCTCTCCCTCCCAGGTCACTATGGTCTAAAGGGGAGATGAAAGAAGACTGGGGTACGGGGACCCCAAATGCTTCTCAGGTCACTCTGTCTTCTCCAGCCCCTCCATTCGGGGCCGGACGCTCTGCTTTAGCAGAACTCTCCTCCTCCACTCCAGAAGGTCTCCAAGGAGCATTGTCTGTGGTGACAGTGATATTTGGGGCAAACAGGAGAGGAGCAGGGGTGAAGGTGTGGAGAGGGGTGACAAAGAATGGAGGCTTTGTCTTCTGATGCCTCCAGCTGATCCAGAGGGACTTTTGAGGAAGAGAGATTGGTCCCTTTCAAGGACACTGGGAAGGAAGGACCAACCCCTCTGGCTTGGGCAGTCCAAGCCCTGAGGAGCCTTTCTGCACAGGCACAGGCCTGCTGAGCTGGGTCTGCAGAGGGAGGGTCACTACCCAGGGAATGGGAAGGGAGGGAGGAGCCGAGCCTTCAATTGGGAGTTATTAGATCGGACATACATAACTGAAAATGTTTAGCCAGGAAAGAAACAGCATAGAAGGAAGAAGGGCAGGCCATTCTAAAGGGCTGTAGCCTAGACTGCATGTGGGAAAACAGGAGGAGCTGGTCCCCAAGCCCCATCCTGTGTGCCATTCCTGTTGGGTGTGTGGGCTTTGTCTGGGATGGATCTTCACCAGAAGGGCTTAAATCAGGGAGAGTCGTGGCCTCTTTTACATCACAGGTGGATCCGGTGTCCTAGCAGCGGAGGGTTAAGACTGAGACTAAGACAGGACCAACTTTGGACATCCAGTGAGAAATGAAGGCCTTTAAGGTGGTGATAGAGAGTAGGAAGGAACAGATGAGACATTTAGAAGAGTAATATTTCACTGGAAACAAAATGGCTCAAAAATGCAAGCTTACATATATAAAGCATTTCTGGGAGCTTACTAGAAAAGGAAAAAGAGGGCCAGGGATTTGGCTCAATGGTTCTGCCACCTACTTTGCAAGTGCAAGGTCCCAAGTTTGATCCCTGGTACCAAAAAAAAAACAAAAACAAAAAACAAAAAAGAAAAGGAAAAAGAAACAGATGGATTCAATTTTAATAATATATTTTATTTAACCTAAAATAATAAGATATTAGAATTTCAGTATGTGGTCAGTATAATCATTTCTGAGATGCTTCACATCCTTTTTTGGATAATGCTTAAAAATCCAAGGCCAGGGATGGTGATTTAGCTCAGTGGTTCCACCGCCTACCTTACAAGCACAAGGTTCTGAGTTTGATCCCTTGTACCAAGCAAAGCAAAACAAAACAAAACAAAACAAAAAAGCCAAGGCCAGGCACAGTAGCACATGCTAACAACACTAGCACTCTGAGAGGCTGAGGCAGGAGAAACACAAGTTTCAGCCCAGCCTGGGCAACTTAGTGAGGTCCTGTCTCAAAATGGAAAATCAAAAAAAGGATTGGGAATGTAGCTCAATGTGAAGGCTCTGGGTTTATCCCCAGTGCTGGGCGGGGGGGAGAAAAAAATAAAGAAAAATCTAGTTTTATCCTTATAGTACATTTCCATTGGATGAGGTGCTTTTTGCCTGCCCAACAGCCTTATATAATTAGTGGCTACTGCACTGGATAGTCAGAAAGGTCGTGTCCTTAATGTGGGCTGTGTGTGTGTGTGTGTGTGTGTGTGTGTGTGTGTGTGTGTGTGTTGGGAGTGTGGAAGTAAGGGAACAAGAGACAGTGACTGTGATTTCTGGTCCAGCTGGTTATTGCCATCAACAGAGACAGTAAATGCACAAGTGGTTTAGGGTTGTGCAAGAGTATAATGAATTCATGGGCACACAGACAGAAATGTCTTGCAGACAGCTAAAAGCATCACCCCGGAGCTCAGGAGATGGCTCTGGCTGGACAGGAAATGTCAAGGGCAGTTTACAGGTGGCAGCAGAAAGCTTGGGCACAGAAGACTTAGCCCAAGAAGGGCTCATGTACAGACATGAGAGAGAAAAGGACAAAAACAGGGTGAAAACTGCAATTTAAGGAACTTCATAAGAAAACTACAGTCTGTAAAAGGGATCAATAGGGGCCATGTAGGGAGTAGGGGAAAATGGAGGAAAGTAGGGTTTTACAGATTCTAAGTAAAAGCAGCTGGGTGTGGTGGTGCAGGTCAGGAATCCCAGCACCCTGGAAGGCTAAGGCAGGAGGATCACAAGTTTGGGCCATCTTGGGTGATTTAGCAACTCAAAAAAAAAAGGATACTGGCTTGAAATAAAAAAATAAAAAAGAGCTGGAGATGCAGCGCGATGTGAAGCCCTGGGTTCAGACCCCAGTAAAGGAAAGAAATTGTGGGTACTCACAGTGTCCTCAGCTGGGAGGCCAGCAGTGTCTGCTGATTGGCCTGGGGCAGGTGGCCTGCTTTTTTACCTTTTTGGCTGGCTGATGATTAGAGGGGGCAGGGAAGAAGTAGGAAGGCGTGGGAGAGGAGGAGGGAGAACCAGGAGCCTGCTACCGCTGGAGACTGGTACCTGGTGCCGGTGCTGACTGCTTCGGTGCTCGCCCCTCCCCCTGTGGCTGCAGAGTCCCTTTGTTTCAGCTGTGTCGTTTGGAGGCGCCCCCAGCCCACACCCCAGGAAAGTACCTGGCATTTCCGTCCATCCACGACCCTCAGGTCCTCTTCGAACTCGACTCCCACCTGGAATTCCATGATGTAGTTGCGGAAGGGGCTGAGGGTCTTCACTACCATGTGGTCTCCCCGGTGCTCAATCTCCTTATCGGGCTTCAGCAGCAGCACTATTTTCCGCAGGGCCACGTTGATGTCTGTGGGGGCTGAGTCTTAGGTGGGCACTAGGCCCTCCCACCAGGGCCGTGAGTTGTGAGCAGCGTCTGAGGCCTGAGGCAGGTCTGGAAACGGATCCCACAGGCCTTTCCCAGTCCAACCCCAGGTGCCCTGCACAGTGGGAGCCAGGGGTGGGAAGGGAGCGGAAGAAGCGTGGGGAAGGGGCTAGGAGAGAGGGATTACTCAGGGCCTGCAGGTAGTCCTCTAGGTTCTTCTGCGAGACAAAGCGGTAGTAGCCTGTGAGGTTGGGAGGCATTGCTCGTATTGCTTGTGGCCAAGATGGAGCCCAGGATTGCAGGAGAATGCAGGGGACAGTGAAAGAAGAGAGAGGGTGCTGTGTGGCAGAGGAGGCTGACCCACGGGTGGCAAGGTCATGGGGCCAGGGCTTTCACAGGGCTGGGGCCCTGCTGCGATAAGAGTCCCTCCTTCCCTCCCTGGGACGGTTTGGGACTCAGCAAAGCCAAGCCTGATCTCTGCTTTTCCTGAGGAAGGAACCCAGAGAGGGATGGGGCTCTGAGTCATCTAATGTGTGCCTTTTGGTCCCTGCCTCACTTCTGGAGGGCTGGGACCCCTGAGGGGGGCCGTGCCCGCCACCAGCCACTGTGGCCACCCGTTGTGTGGGGCGGGGTTGAGTCCCAGCAGTGTTCTGAGGTCCTGGGGTGGGGATAACTGTGAGGTGTGAGGGAGGAGGTGGGGACGGTCAGCTGCCCAGGAGCCACCAGGAAGACCACCCTGGAGTTCCTCCAGAAGGCTGGCTGAGCTGGGTACAACTCGTGGTCCTGTGTGGCCCTTTGGAGGGAGGCAGAGCTGACTGTCTGATGGGTCCCTCTCCTGTGCCGCCCTTGCATACACAGTGCATGCTTAGCAGGTGTGCAAAGACACCAAGATGAGTGTACACTTTCCCACCTGCCCACTTCTCTCCCGAACCCAGACGTGTCTGGCCGCTGAAGCTACTGGGCTGCCCCACCACGGTTTAAAGGAACGCTTGGAGGAGGGAGGCAGGGGAAGCGGCCTGACATCAGCGCGCGGCCTGTCTGGACAGGGACAGGGACGGGGACGGGGACGGGGACATGGACTGGACGGGGACGGGGACAGGGATGTGTGCCGGGGATGGCACAGCCGGGCCCCTCTTCTCCCGGCGCCCACGGACCCTCCCAGGGCTTCCTTTGCGCCTGGGCTGGGGACTGAAGTGCTAGGGTTTCTCCAGCTCATTGAGGGTTTTACTTCGCAGTTCCCAGAAGGCGCCCAGGGGACCTGAAGAGGTGATCGCAGAGTTGTCGCGAACGCTGCCCCTCCCGGCCACCCTCAGGTCTCCGCCGTCGACGCCTCCTTCCCACTCCCTGGCTCCTATCATCTCCTCCTCCCATTGTCCCTCTGCCTCCCGCCCCCTCCATGGCTTCCCGGCTTCCTCCCCGGCCCCCGCAGTTCCTCTGCTCCCCCAAATGCAGTCCCGGGGGGAAAAATCCCTAACGCGTTCTCCCGCCCCTGCTCTCCGCTCCCATTGGCTCACTCCCCTGCAGCACCTGGCGCCTTCAGTCCTCCGATTGGCCAGCGGCCCCATCAATCCTGGCCTGACTGTGCTGACGTCATCCTGCAGTAGCGGGGATGGGGTGGGAGTGAGGAAGAGAGAGAGGACGCGGGGATCCTAGAGATCGGAAAGGAGCCACGGCAGGGCCCCTCTCAGCGCCACACCGGGTCCGCCCGGGCCTGCCCTGTGAGGTAGTGCGGGCGGCAGGCCCTTCTGTCACTGCCCACCGCCCCCTTCTCCTTGGGGAGCCCCTGCACCCCTCCCCGAGGTGAAATCTGCAGGCTCGAGGCTCCCAGGGGACGGCGGCCCCTGACCCAGCCCTGCCCCCAGGCACCATGACCCTCCTGCTGCTGCCCCTGCTGCTGGCCTCCCTGCTCCCCCCCAGCTGCGGCAACAAAGGTGAGTGATGGGGGCGGGGGTCTGACAGGTGTCGGAGCGAGTGGGGGTGGGGCGGGAGCGCCGCTCTGACACCTGGCAGGTGGCCCTTTCTCTCCACCACCCTCTGGTCCCTTTCCCAGACCTGCTTCTTTCCTAGCTGCTCACTTCCCAGGGCCCGTCCTCCCGGCTCACCTTTCTACCCATGTGCTTCCTTTGCTGGTCGCCTGGCTCCCAGCTGGGGTCTCTCCACCCTGCCTCCAGTTTCTCTGTGCTGGGGTATCTCAGGTCTCAGAAGGACTCGCCCCAGGGGTCCTATGCATCCCTCCTGGGTCCCTGCCCTCCAAGGGTGTGGGGCAGGCAGACCCGGCTGCTGTTCTCCCTCCCATCCCGGGGAGAAACTGAATTCGGAGCACGTAGGTTTCTGCGTGGTCCTCTGCATCCATATCGGTTGGGCTGTGGGTGACAGAGCCGCCCTCTCTGGCCAACAGCGGACAGCTGCGCTGGGAGAGGCTGGCGGAGGGACCCAGGGAGGGTGGGGTAGGGGCCCAGATAGGTGGGATGGAGGGAGAGGGCAAGGAAGGTGAGGCAGGGCAGAAGGGGGTGTGTGGAGTGTTGGTGAGTAGAGAGAGAGCTGAGGAGGAGGAGGCTGAGAGGGAGAAGAGGTGTGGGAGGGGCAAGAGGGGGATGGGAAAGGGCAAAAGTGGAGGCAGAAAGAAAGGTAAGAAGATGGGGAGGGAGAGAGCCAGAGAAGAGCCAGGCAGCCTAGGATGAGTGACCAGGAAGGAGGAGACACGGACCTGGAATAGGGAGCCTGAGGAGCTCAGGAGCAGGAGTGCAGCGGGGCTGGAAGAGGGCTGTGGGGAGAGTACCCAGCGAGGCCCCTGCCTTGTCCCAGCCCTGCCATCTGCTCTCTCCATCTCAAGGAGCTCCTGGGCCCAGGACCTAAGCCTGGTGCCTGAGCCTCCTGCCACTTCCTGCTTGGCTTCCGTGCACCATCTTGCGGCTTCCTGCCAGCCATTAGGGCAGGGGCTCCGGTGGTCGTGGGCAAGAGAGGGGCAGGGGCAGGCATGCAGATGGCAGGGCACATGCTGGGCTGTGGTTGGAGGAGAATGGCAATCAGGATTCCTTACTCACCGAGATATACTGGGCTGAGGTCTGGTGACTCAGTTTCCCCGGAGGATACCCCCCTCCGTCCAGCTGGCGGGCTGTCACTAATGGACTTTGCCTTTGTGTGGGTGAGATGGGCTCAGATAGCGCCTGCAGGGGAGGGGAGCAAAGGGAGCCTGAGGAGCACCCTCCCCTCCCTGCAGCCCCACAGCTTAGGGGGCCATCGGCCCTGGGGACCGGAGGACTGGGGTGATGGGATCCAACTACTCTCACCTCCACCTGCCTTGGCTGGTACTTGACGGGAAGAGGGGTGGTATGGGCCAGAACTGGGGTTAAGTCATGGGTCTGGTCCCTGTGGGTCTGGGCCGTGTGGCATTGGGAGGCCTTGTGGGAGATAGCACTGCGCTAGGTGTGACAGGGTGGGAGTGAGTGGGGAGGGCTCGCTGAGTTTCTAGGCCAGCTCGCTAATCCCTTAGGACGCAGCACTGCAGGATCCAGTCAATTGGCGCTGTCTCCTGTGCTCCATCCCTGTCCCTTGCTGCCCCCTCCCTCTGTCCTGTATGTCCTTCCCTCTTTCCTTTCTCCTCTTCCTCTGCTCTAGGAGAAATGCGGGTGAAGGCGGGAGGGGAGAGGAGAAATGGTCAGGACCTCAGGCAACTTCTAAATCTTTACTCCTCCCTTCATCTACCCCTTTCCTTCCCAGAGCCTTTGCGGGGGGGTCACCACTGCTCCCCGAGTTCTCAGTCTCCATTCCCTGGCAGGTGAAGTCCCTAAAGATTCCTCACCCAAGCCTGTGTGGTGGTGCACACCTGTAAACCCAGTGCTCTGGGAGGCTGAGGCAGGAGCATCATGAGTTTGTGCCCAACCTGGGCAGCAGTGATTTAGTGAGACCTTGTTTAAAAATAAAGAATAGAAAGGACTGGCTGGGAATGCAGCTCAGTGGGAAGGGCCTGGGGGTTGGCAGATCCTTCTTCCCTTCTTCCCTAACTATGGTGCCCAGGGGAGATAAGTGTCTCTTTCCTGGACAGCAGGCAGTTGCCGTGGAAACTGTCCAGTGGTAGGGTAAGGTGCTCGCCTCCTTCAGACCTCTGGGCCCCTTCTGCAACCGATTTCTTGTCCTCCTCCCTCTGCTCCTGCAAAGTGCTCTGGCAGGGAGTGAGGTGCTTGCGCCCAGAAGGGTTGCCTTGGGCTCAGGGGTCCTGCTCAAGGGCATTTCCTCCCTTCCCCTGGGGCCCGGCCAGCTAACAAGCACAAGCCTTGGATCGAAGCCGAGTACCAGGGCATTGTCATGGAGAATGACAACACGGTCCTGCTGAACCCACCGCTCTTTGCCTTGGACAAGGACGCCCCCCTGCGCTATGCAGGTAATTGGGGCTGGTGCCCCGGGGTGGCAAAGCAGGTAGGATGCAGCAAGGGTAGGGGGCAGAGGTGAGGGGGTCCCAGAGAGCAGGAGCAAGGAGGAAGTAGGGGGAAACTGGGGAGGGCAGTGTGGGCTCAAGGAGGGGTGCAAAGGAGCTGAACTCGGACCTTGGCAGGCAGAAGTTGAACCCAGACCTCAGCCTGGTGGCTCCAGGAGGCTGCTGCTCTGGGAAGCCAGTTGGAGACTGAGGGGAGGTGGGGCGCCTGGGGGAGGGAGATCAGCCTCAACACCTCTCTTTTCACATCTCCCCTTCTTCCTCCTCCCCATCACCAGGGGAGATCTGCGGCTTCCGGCTCCACGGGTCGGGGGTGCCCTTTGAGGCTGTGATCCTGGACAAGGCGACCGGAGAGGGGCTGATCCGGGCCAAGGAGCCGGTGGACTGCGAGGCCCAGAAGGAACACACCTTCACCATTCAGGCCTATGACTGTGGCGAGGGCCCTGACGGGGCTAACACCAAGAAGTCCCACAAGTGAGGAAAGCCGGGGCCCTTTCTTCCTGCTCCCGCCCCCTCACCACCCTCTGTCCATTCCTCACAGACTGTCCCCACTGTGCCGCTGCTGAGAGCTCCAGGGGCCTTCAGTCAGGGTGACCAGCAGGTAGTTGAGTGCAGTGCGGCCTGATCCTGACTTTGCCTTCACAACTGTGGACAACTTCTGTAGCCTTTCTGGATCTGCTCTTCCTTGTCTTTAGGATGGAAAGATTAACAGAGCTTTCGTTTTGTTTTGTTTTTGGTGGTGCTGAGGGTGGAACCTAGGGCCTCATGTATACTGAGCAAGTGCTCTGCCTCTAAGCTGCATCCCCAGCCCTAATGGGGAGGTTTGTATAAAAAGTGCCTGCCCCGTGGGGAAGGGCTTGACAGGTGGGAGTGAGGAGGAGCAGGAGGAGGAGGACCAGGTTCAGTGCACCCATCACATGTCCAGGCCCCTCCCGCCTGCTTGGGCCAGGGTATTTGCAGAGCACACCAGGCACGTGATTCCTAACGCACACATGTACACACATGTACACACACATGTGCACACACATGCTCTTAGGTGGGGGTGGACAGGGGTAGTCACAGCACAGAAGCAGCTTGGGTCCCAGAGTCTGTTTCCAGCCCACT